CCAAGCATTTGGACCATTTTCTGCTGCTTTCCTAGGTACATTAGCGGGGCTGGATCAGAAGTGGGACAATTGCAGGCTGTGGCTTAACTCAATGGTAGTCCCTGGCTGGATTCCTGACTTGTGTACACTTTGACGTGCGGTTGTTTGTCCTCAGGTCTTCTAGGTGCCTGCACTTGACCATGCTCTAGAGGTGCTGAGCATGTAGACTTGAGGACAACCTAGGTCCTTCACTACCGTGTTATAATAACTTGGCTAACAGCTTGCTCCTTGTTTCCTGGTGCTGCCATAGTGTCTCCCTCACTCCGTTCCCACATGTGCCGGGCAACCTCCTGCCTAGCCCATCTTTTCTCCCAAGATGAGCCCACTGACTCGTATTCCAAGATGGCTTTCATCTCTAAACTACTGCCCCACACATTGTTGATTTCTTTTAGGTGAAGCAAGGATTGCAAACCAGTGTGAGTGTAGAACTTTCCCATAACCTCCCCTCATATTCTTTCTGATTTTTAATCTACATACAATTTAACACCAAACTTTAAAGAGATTTGCTCTAGCACAGCTGTCCAGAGCATTCAGTTTCAGAGACTACTCTCACCAGGCTGTCATTTCATGACACTAACTTTTGTTCTTACGGAAACACTGTACCTGGCATTACCAAGTTGATAACCTAACTAGAGTGTCTCTCGTTCAGCTTCAGGGTCAGCTGGTAGGAGCAAAGGTATAGAACTGCTGGCCTCTTGAGTGTGGCCTGTGAGCTCAGGGGGGCATTCGGTGTGTCAGACACCAGGTGCAGGTTTGGCAGCAGGAGTAGAGTTTGTTGGCCAAGGATGTCTTAGAAGTGGCACCAGGAAGAGTACTACTCTGTCTTATATTTGTAGTAAATGATAGTGGTTGCCTCTTAAAAAATGTATTTAAGTAAGAACATGAATTCTTTTAAAGAAAAAAAAATGAATCCAGTAGCAGCTGAGGTATAAGGTGGGCTCAGGTGGCCTGTTACAGAAGAGAAGGGGTGCAGGGAGAATGACCATGACACTATTCTGCCCCACTTGTGCCGAGCCAGGGGCCAGTGGGTAGCATTGGGCTCCATCTACCAGTCCTCTGTTTGGAAGGACTGGGGTGCCATCTGATGGAGGGGCAGGCATCCCTGGTATAGGGTGCTGCAGGGTAACTTGGAGAGTCCAGCCCAGTGGGAAGGCCAGTGCTTCTGAGGCCTCAGCTTCCGCTCGAGACTTCTCCTGGCTTCGCCATCTGCTTTTCACGTGACACTGTGGCAGTCAGTGAGCTCTCAGGGATCACTGGCATTAGTGAGATTGAGTGGGGTTCTGTGAGCACAGGAATCCAACCAGTTCCGCTGGTATTTGCTGAACGTATGAATGATTCTGAATCTGGAAATGGTAATGACACTTTCTACCTGTCTTATAGGGTTGTTCAAGATTCTGTAAATTTATGATTATAATTTGAAAGTGATAGCTATCAGAATATTGGCTATTGTAATTACAGCTATTCCATAGTTCTGTCATTGGTTTGAGAACTGTAACTACTATAGCAAGGGTTTGGTTGATCTGGTGGCAAAGTTTAACTTTATGTTCCCTGGTGTTTGAACACCAGCCACTATTTCGGGTTTTTGGCCATCACAGATAATGCTGCTGTGAGCATGCACGGTCCTGTGCTTGCGTCAGTCTTGTTTTCACTAATTTGGGGCATATGTCTAAGACTTGCTAGGCGTGTGATGATTCTGCGTTCTAGACGGAGGACTCTTGGCTACCAGGCTTTCTGCCCAGTTCTTGCTTCCTGAAGTGTGCTGTGCTGCTACCTTCTGGCCTCCAGGTTCTGCTGGGAAGTCAGCTGCTGATCTTCCTGTGGACTGCGTGTGCACCCGCGAGTCGCTCCTCAGTGCTTTCAGGGTTCTCTCCTTGCCCTTGCCTTTTGTAGTTTGTGCTGTATCAAAGTGCGGATCCCTCTGAGTTTATCCCACTTGGAATTTGTTGAGCTTCTTTTGGAAATCCAGCTTAATATTTGTCATCAAATCTGGAGTTTCTGTTTCTTCAGATAAATCATCTCTATCCTTGTCACTGTTTTTCCTTCAGAAACTCCCACTTCGTAGGGACTGCTGTGCGGGTGGCGGCTCGATGCCTTTGGGACTGTGATCTCCTCCCTTTAAATGTGTCAGTTTTTGGAAATTCGTTTTAAGGCTCTGCTCTCTTTTTTCCCTTAGACTGGGTAGTTTCATTTGGCATATTTTCAAGTTTGCCGATACTTTGTTCCTACTGCTCAGATCAGCTATTGAGCTCTTGTGGTACATTTTTTTTTTCATTGTGATTATTATACTTTTTAACTTTGGAATTTCTGGTTTTTTTTTTTTTAAAGATTTATTTTTATTATTTTTTATTGGAAAGGCGGATACACAGAGAGGAGAGACAGAGAGGAAGATCTTCCGTCCGATGATTCACTCCCCAAGTGAGCCGCAACGGGTCGATACTATGCCGATCCGAAGCCAGGAGCCTCTTCCGGGTCTCCCACGCGGGAGCAGGTTCCCAAAGCTTTGGGCTGTCCTCGACTGCTTTCCCAGGCCACAGGCAGGGAGCTGGATGGGAAGCGGGGCTGCCGGGATTAGAACCGGCGCCCATATGGGATCCCGGGCGTGCTAGGCGAGGACTTAACCACTTGCGCCACCGCGCCGGGCCCAGGAATTTCTGGTTTTTTTATTATTGTTATTGCAAAGTCGGTTTTGCAGAGAAAGTGAGAGACAGAGAGATAGATTTTCCATCCTCTGATTCACTCCTCAAGTGGCCACAACGGCTGGAGCCAACCCAGTCCAATCCAAAGCCAAGAGCCAGGAGCCAGGAGCTTCTGCCGGGTCTCCCACATGGGTGTAGTGTCCCACGGTTTTGGGCCATCCTCTACTACTTTCCCAAGCAACAAGCAGGGAGTTGGAAGGACAGTGGAGCACCTGGAACACGAACTGGTGCCCATATTGGATCCCAGAAGTGCAAGGCAAGGATTTAGCTAGCAGGCTATTGTGCCAAGCCCTGTTATTATTATTATTATTTAGATTTATTTATTTTTATTGGAAAGGTAGATATATACAGAGGAGGAGAGACAGAAAGGAAGATCTTGCGTCCGATGATTCACTCCACAAAGTGACCGCAATGGCCAGTATTGTGCCAATCCGAAGCCAGGAGCCAGGAGCTTCCTCTAGGTCTTCCACGTGGGTGCAGGGTCCCAAAACTTTGGGCTGCCCTCGACTGCTTTCTCAGGACACAAGCAGGGAGCTGGATGGGAAGCAGGGCCACCGGGATTAGAACCGGAGCCCATATGGGATCCTGGCACTTTCAAGGCAAGGACTTTAACCACTACGCTATTGTGCCAGGCCCTATTTTTTTAAAGGCTGATTTCTAATTTTATTTTTTATTTTTCCTGTCTGGTGTGATGTCATCCTCATAATTTCCTTAATTATTCAGTTTGTTTTCATTTTCTTTTTTCCAAAAAAAAATTCATTCATTTTTATTTGAAAGGCAGAATTATATGGAGAGAAAAAGAGAGAAAAAGGGGAGGAAGGAGAGCTCTTCCATCCACTGGTTCACTTCCCGAACGGCCTCAGTGCTCAGAGATGAGCTGATCCAAAGCCAGGATCCAGAACTTCTTCTGGGTCTCCCATGTGGATGTAGGGTCCCAAGGAACCATCTTCTACTTCTCTCAGGCCATAAGCAGGGAGCTGGATTGGAAGTAGAGCAGCAAGGACTAGAACTGGCACCATATGGGATGCCACAGGTGGAGGATTAGCCTGCTATGGCATTGGACCAGCCCCCATTTTTTTCTTGAATAAACACTCCAAAGATTACTCAAACCTTTGGTTAGTTTCCAGAATTTTGAAAAGTTGATTCTGATAATTTTTTGTCGGTGTTGTTTCTATGGAGGAGGAGCTTTGAAGAAGTTTTTAACTCCACCATTTTCGGTGATCTTCCCATGTGGATTCAGCCTTAGATTTATGCTTCCTAAGTATCCCAAATCCAAGGGGGAAAAAAAACCCCACAAATATTAGTCATTCCAACTGACATGTTTATCACAGTGTTAGTTGTAAGGGTAGGAGATTTGAAATGTTCTAAAGTAATATTTTTGGAAGAAAAAGCGTGTAAATCCTGGTTGCTCTTTTATGCAGCTATGACAGTGAAGGGGAGGCCTAGAGAGGGGACACAGACAGAGAGGTTGTCAGGTGCAAGCTCTGGGTCCAGCTTCAAGCGGCTGCTTTTGAGTTTGGTCCTGAGGGTTCAAAGCCAACAACTTGGACCAGATGAGTCTGCCTCCGGGCCTCGTTTTCTCATCTCTGGGATGGTGGCAAGTCCACCGTGGTTTCGAGAGGTTTAAATAAAATCATCTCTGTTGAATACTTGGCTTAGAGAGTTACTGCCGTTGATGTTGCAGGAGTCCAGCAAACAGAAAGGGAAATGACACGTGCACGATAACCACAGTATGAGAAAATACCGCTTGGGGAAACATGGTGACGACATGGTTGGAGGAAAATTCCCCATGGTGATGGGATTATGGGCTCTGTTTTCTTTTGCCCCCCCACCCCTCTTTCTGGCAGTCATAGTAGGAAAGGCAGATGCACCTGAAGGGGCGGAGCTTCCCTGGCGAGGTCTGGGTAGGATTGCTGGGCTGTGGCTGTGGATCACCAGCCTTACCTGGCTGGGCTCTCCCAGAACGCTGGGATATGCTTATCACCTTCTTCAAGGGGCTCTTGTCTTCAGAGGTTTTTGTGCCTGAGGTCACTATGGCCTCCTCAAGGGGGGTTCTGAGAATGGAGATTAAAACTCGGAAGGGCCCTTTTTAATTCTGGTGTCACACACAAGCCATGTCTTCCTGGGGTCTCTGTTGCCCCCTGCATCGTCTCTCGCGTGCAGGGAGAGCAAGGTGACCCTGGCCAGCTGCTCTGCGGATGTGCTGCACATGAGCCTGATGCTCTCTGCTGGTTTCTGATGGTGCTGCTTGTTCTTCCATCTCAGGTTCCGAGGTGCACCCATTATACCTGTGGCCGCCAAGCCTGGGGGACCGGAGGCCCCTGAAACTGAAGCTCCACAGGGCATCTCAGAGCTCATTGAGGTACTGTTGGCTTGACCCCAGGTTGCCCTATAGCCCCTGCCCCCAAGCTGCTCAGGCAGGCCCCTTTGGGTCCTCTCTGCTCTGAGAGGCAGACTCTGAATTGGCTCCTTTCAACCTGGGCTGGCACCTTAGCCAAGCTAAGCCCTTGCTGACCTCCATGCAGCTCCCCTCCAGTCCCAGATCCCATAAAGCACTTGCACGTCATGGCCGCCCCCTCCCCCTTACACACAGGTGAGGTGAAGCGGTCGCTGCAACCTTGGGGCTGTGCCATCCACTCCACTCCTTCTAGGTGCTCCTGTCCCTTCCATGTGCCCCACCCTGGGCTGGGCCCATGAGACAGGATGCTAGAGATGTGGCCAGCAGCCAGGGCAGCACAGCTTCTGTCACAAGACGTGGAGGCCTATACCTCTCAGAGCCAGGGCCTGAGGCTCAGGCTGTGTTCCAGACTTGGTGGTGGCAGACAGTTGGGCACCGCCATTGTGGGGGGTGTGTGTGAGTGTGTGTGTGGATGGGAATGTGTGATGGTGTGGGCTTGACTGCAGTGAGTGAGGCCTGTGCAGTTCCGCTGTGGAACACCTGGGGCAGCTCGTCTTGGCCCAGCACCAGCTCTCCGCTGCTTGCTGACACCACGGCCAAGTGCCATCCTCGCTTTAGCCTCTTGCCATGGACTGTGTGCAGTTGCTGTGAGGAGGAAATGACAGGCTTCATTTGCTCAGAACAGTGGCATGGCATGGCACTGCTTGCCATGGTCGTGGTGTTGAGTTCTATGTAGCATTTGCTGTGCTAAGTGCTTCGCATGTGGCCGTTAGCATTCACAACAGCCCTGGAGGCCTGACGTCTCCACCCAGCCATGTCTCAAGGCTGAGATTCCGAGAGGCCCACTAACTTCCCAGAGACTTCACAGCCAGTGCGAGCTGAAGCCAGGATTCAGAGCCCACTGGGTCAATTAGTTCAGCGTTGTGGCCCCTTGCATTTACAGATCCCAGCTCGGGCGTGAGCTTGGGCACTGCACCCGTGTCTGCGATTCGCACTGAGCTGAGCTCACTGACTCCCCAAAGCACACACTTTCTGGGTGCGCCTTTTGCTACTTTTTCATCCACTACAGTGTGTGTTGGTCGGGGAGTTGTTTTTGTTAAAGTGAAATCCACAAAAATGTGGCTCTGAAGGATGTTTGTATATTCCTTTAAGAAACCTCCACATAAGTCTCCGACCAAGCCTGGTTTGAATCTCCTGTCCTTTTCCAAAAGAATTATTGTCCCAAGACTAAGGCTTTGGAACATGTACTACCAAATAGTTTTTTGACAGCCTGTTCCCTTATGAAATCAGAAAATAGCAAAATAAAAGAAATAATGCAGCCTTTATTTTCATTTGTTTGTTGGTAATTAGCTGTGACAACATCTCCATGCACATAGATGGCGTGGGGAAAACTGGCTGTTGAGGGGAAGTGTAGGAAGGCTCAACAGAGACGGGGCAGGCGGGGGAACCGAGCCACGCAGCCCTGGGCAGCGGGATGGCCGGAGAGGCGGCCGGCCTGGGCCAGGCGGGAGAAGGTTCCGAGAGACGGGCGGGCCAGGCAGGCTGGGGGAACCGTAGCCCACGGCAGCCCCTGGGCCAGGCGGGAGAAGGTTCCGTATATCCCTTTACAGCTCTCGTCCTGGCCTCTCATGCCAGACCCTGGGAGCCCCAACTAACAGCAGCCCTCCTCCCCACTCTGCCCCCACATCCCCTCGCTTTTCCTCATTCGCTTGTCATCCTCTTGGGCACCTTGCCTGCTCATGGAGACACGTGGAAGTCCTCGGTTCCCAGGGGAGTATCCATAAACAGATGATCATAACAGTGTGCTAACTGTGGCTCTGGGAGGAGGAGGGGCCTCACAAGAAAAGTTCTTCTGCAGGAGTGTGGCCAGAAGGTGAGGCTGAGTTAGCTGGTGCCAGGCCTGCCAGTGCTAGCGCCAGTGGGAGAGGAGGCCTGACTGGATCCTGGGTCCGGATGGAGAAGCACCCTAAACCCTCCAGGCTGCATGAGGCTGGGCAAACATGGAAGCCATGTGACAGGGTACTCTTTTTCAACTGCCAGTGCCACAGCCTCTAGGAGACCATGAGGTGACCCTGAGCAGAAACTGGATCAGACTTCTCTAGGGGTTCTTTTCCTTCAGGCCGGGCAGAGAGCCAAGGACGAGGCAGTAGCTCACAGTGCGTTCTGGGAGCTGACTGAGCTTCTGGGCCAGCTTTTCAGTGGGGTCTCCCTTGTTGGCCTTGGGGAGCCACTTGTCGGCTTCTCCCTCTGCCTGCCCCTGCCCTGCCCCTTCTGCCTTTGCGTGACAGGCTATGGCAGCTGCGTCTCTTTTCTAGCTCCTGACGTCACAGATTTCCATTCCAACGAGAGACCCATCAGGACCGTTCCTCATGTCGGTGGACCACTGCTTCTCCATCAAAGGCCAGGGCACCGTGATGACTGGGACCATCCTCTCGGGCTCCATCAGTCTTGGTGACAGTGTGGAGATTCCTGCCCTCAAGGTCGGTATCGCCTCTTCCCTCATGCGTCTCTCTAGCAGCAAGGGAGGGAGCTGGCCCTGTGCTAATTCAGCCACTGAGCTGCCGGGCCTGCCCTGTGTTCTCCTGCTTCCAGGCCCAGCCCTGCTGCCCCTTTGCTGCACTCTCTGGCCATCCTGCGTGCCTGGCTCCAGGTAGCTGTGCCCTCACATTCTAGAGCTGCTTCTGGCATCCTCATGGCACTGCTTGCTTCTTGGTGCCCACAATGGGCCACGGTAAGGGGCCTCTGAGCAGACATCCTCTCTAAAAAAGCTGAGGCAGTTGGACTGGAGATCACATGGCGAGCGAGCAAGGGCCACAGAGCCTGCCTGCCTCCAAGCCTCCTGTGTTTTAGAGCGGCAGGGATGTGTGGAGCTGCTTCCAGGGACCCCGATCTTATTCTCAGGAATTTTGAATTGCACACTCCCTGTTGTATAATCTGAAAGAAATCTGGGTCAGTTTTATACTCATGGTGATCATGGGCAGGTGCTGTGTTACCCCTCTAAAAACCTGCGCCCCCATACCTTGTGCCTCCTGGTCCCGTGGCCTTGACGTGAGCTTTATTCAGAGGATTCTTCTTACTGGATAAGGAAAACCTTACAGCTTCATTGACTGCCCTTTGCTTTCAGTGAATCTAATGGTGGGAACCAAGGACTAGTGAGAACCAGCCAGCAGCCCTGCTGGGGATGCTGGGGTCTTTTTCTAGGCCTTAGGGCAATTGGGGTACAGGGAAGTGGGGGCGTGCAGTCAGCAATGTGGCTGCTGGCTGTGGGAGATGTGTGGGTGTGCTCCAGCCCTGTGTGCCCGGGTTCCGTTTGTATACTCACTGGGAGTGACTTCTGGAATGCTGCGTCCAGGCTGGTTTTGAGACTGTCTGGCTCACCGCTTGTGCCCGGGTTCTCTTGAGGAGCAGTGTACTTAGATGTATGGCAGATAATGTGCACTTGAAGGAATGGGCTCACATGCTTGAAACATCACGCTAGTCCACAGTCTAGGCTAATGGGATGGAAGTCCAGGGAGGAGAGCAGCCTTGAGACTGCCTGCTGGCACTCTGCTTCTCTTGGGGGAAGAGGTCAGCCCTTTTCTTGTCAGGCCTTCCACTAAGCTGCTGAGACCCGCCATGTTATAGGGACAACCTGCTCCTTCCATAACCCACCAATTTAAATGGGGCTCTCGTCCAAATATACTTTCCCAGCAACTCCCAGAATAGTGTTTGGCATGTATCTGGGCATCATAGTCCAGCCACATAGGTTGGATGTAGGAAAAGAGAGTTTCGTGGGGAGCAGCAATGCATAAAGCTCCCCAGAGGCAGGAAACCCCAGGTGTCATTTTATGGTTGTGTGACTGGCTGTTGCTTCCTCCTGGGCTGGGGAGGACCAACTGAAAGGATAACCATGGCTGTGAGCCGTCCCCGGGCTCCTTGCAGTTGGAGCAGGAGTCAGACAGCAAAGCCCTGCCCTTTCCTGGGTATTAGGACCTCCTCTAGCACAGGGCTGTTTTTTCCTCTTGCACCTTAAGTCAACTTCACTTTAAGGCAGCTCTTAACAGAGCAATTCTTAGAGTATAAAGCATAAAATTTTGAAAATAACATCAATTATATTTGACAGACTTGAGACTACAGTTCTTAACTGCAACAGAACATGAATTGATGCAGTTTCTCTTCCATCCTTCTGCATTCAAGGGCTCCCTTCCACTGTGGGAGAAGATGTTTACAGCTAGGGCAGCCATGAGCTGGGAGGAGTAGGAGATGTGTCAGAAGAGAGCACCATGGGGGCAGATTTAGGCTTGGGGGTCCCTGAGGCTCTGCAGGAGGGCAGGGCCAGTGCCCATGACACTGGACTTAAGGACCTGCAGGAAGGCTGAGGCAGAGACTGTGAGCTGTGGTGAAGCAGTGTTTGAGTGGGGATGGGTTGTGTCTGAGGTCTTTGGCCACCCTTTCCCTCCTAGGAACCCACTTCCTGATTGTAGTATCTGGGCACATGGCAGGTGTGTGGCAGATACAAATGTAATTCTTTGTCCACTGAGAAAATCATAGAGCAGCTAAGATCAAAGTAAAATCAAGTTTTGTTTAGGAATAGCTTTGTGGTGGGAATCTTGAGTGTTGCCTTGGAAACGCATATGCCACGGAAACTGTAGGTGTAGTCATAGAAGTTGTGGCAAGGGGGACCCTTTAAAGGCAAAAATGAGAATTGTGTAAGACGTTTTGGAAGAATATCTTCAAGAGAAAGAGGGCTGTGAATCTGAGAATGAATTGATAGCTGCTGGGCAGAGGTCCTTGCAGAGGACTTTTTGTGTGAGGCTGCAGTGGCCGCTATGTAAGGTGGTGATTCTGGTGGACTTTTGTGACAGTTACTTCTAGTCAACCATTTGTAAGAACCTTTCTTTTCTAACTTCCCAGCTCTATTTGTTTATTTTTGTTGGAGTTGACACAAGCGACTCCACTTTGATGGTGACAGCTTTCACACTTCTTACTTTTGTACCTGTTCCCCACCCCCACCCCCCACTTTTCAACCTTCTTGCTATCTACTGTCTGATTGTCCAATTTATTTGTTTTTATTATTTAAAAGATTTATTTATCGATTTTTGGAAAGGCAGATTTACAGAAAGAAGGAGAGAAAGATTTTCCATCTCCTGGTTCACTTCCCAAGAGACCGCTATGGCTAGAGCTGAGCTGATCCTAAGCCAGGAGCCAGAAGCTTCTTCCAAGTTTCCCATGTGGGTGCAGGTCCCAAGGCTTTGGGCCATTCTCGACTGCATTCCCAGGCCACAAGCAGGGAGCTGGATGAGAAGTGGAGCAGCCAGGACTCAAACTGGCACCATATGGGATTCTAGTGTGGAAGGTGAGGTTTAGCCACTAGTCTATCGTGCTGGAACCCCTCTCAGTTTATTTTTAAGATAATTCACGAATGCATGCCACTTGTGAACAAATAAAACTTAGGGAGCCAAATGGAAGTCCTAGTAGTTACTCCCTTCTCAGTTCTGGCCCTCCAGTCTTTCCAAATGACACCGCCATGGCTGCTGAGGATCACTTTTCTGAAATGTTTGGGAGCAGAAGCGTTGCAGATTTTGGATTTTGGGGGGACTTGGAATATTTGCATCTGCTTAATGAGGTCTGTTGGGGATGAGATCCGAGTCTAAACGGTGTATTTGTCTCTTTCCTGTGTAGCCCATTCAGACAGCCTGAAGATAATCTTAGATTTTTAGTGCGCTTGTGTTTTGACTGTGATCTGCCATAGGAGGTCAGGTGTGGACTTTGACACTTGCAGTGTCATGTTAGTGCACGAGATGTTTCATATTTTGTAGCAGTTTAGATTTTATGTTTTCAGATCAGAGGTGGTCAACCTTTGTATTTTGTGGCTTCCTTTCCTACTAATTATATTGAACTCAATGGACACGGTTCTGAAACTTGCTTTTTCTTTTAGAGAATCATGATACAATAATGCTATAAGTAAATGACACAAAAATGTATTTGACAGGCAAAGTGACAAAGAGAGGGAGAGAGAGACCGTCCATCTACTATCTCTCTTCCCAAACCACTGCAACAGCCAGTGCTGGACCAGGCCAGAGCCAGGAGCCTGGAACTCCATCTTCATCTCCCACATGATTGACAGGGACCCAGCTGCTTAGGTCAGCATCTGCTAGTCCCCAAGAGTATTAGCAGTGCAGCAACCAGGACTTGAACCAGCACTCTGATATAGGATGCCAGTTTTTGAAGTGGTTGCTTAACCCACTGTGTCACAATGCCTGCTGCCACTTTGATTCTGTAATTTAATGGTTAGGAAAAGCAGAATTGGTAAGCAAAAATCCATTGAGCTTTGGACATTTGGCTGAAGAGATTTCCAAGCAAAGTGTGGAAAATAGTACTTTGTTTCCTTTTGTTACTTATAGTGATATGTAAGGGGGAAAGACTTGAGTTTAGGAAGGACTTGCTAGCAAAGAGAAACAAGTGCTTGATGAGTGTGTGTGTGTGTGTGTGTGTGTGTGTGTGTGTGTGTGTGTGTGTGTTGGGGGTAGGTGTTTCTTGGTCCCTCCACATTGGGAATAATGCTGAAGTTAGGAAATTCTCTGTTTAATAAGTGCCCTGGAGAAAATGCCCAGGCGGGGATGGGACTCACTTTAGTTGGAGAAGTTGGGTGAGTTGGGCATGTGACCGTGGACCCAATGAAGTGTTTCAGCAGAAGCCAGCCTTACTTACTGTCTTGTTCTTGAAATGTCTGGGAGATCAGCAAGGTTTTTATAATATTATACCAACCAAAAACACTGAATTTTAAGAGATACAGTGACCCAGCAAGATGGAAAAGAAAAGGAAGAAGCTGTCAGACTCCTGGGGTCCTGCAGATAGAAAATGAGCAGATAAAATTACTCAGCCGCAAACATGGAGTGCCCTTCAACAATAAGGAGAATTACAGTGAAGACAGAGCTGTGGACAGAAGCAGAGGCTAGAGGAGTGGCCCAGAGTGCAAGGATCAGGCCACCGACGGTCGCTCTCAGGTCTAGAAACTTAATGGCATTCGCCCTGCTGGATTTCTGGCTTGCTCAGCACCAGTGGCCACTGTCCCTCCCTCTCTGCTTGTTAGGATGGAACGTCTGACCTCTGCCTGTTGCTTCGCTGTGTTTGGAAGCAGGTTACTTGTTGGGTCATACTCAGTGTCATCCATTCTAATTAGGTGACATGGAGGGTGAGGCTTGGGGCTTTGTGAGCTGATGGTATTTATTTTGATGAACTTTAGTTTACATGAAATTTTGGACCTAGAATTAAGGATGTAGTGGAGTGAAATGGGTGGGGGGTGTTGAGATGAGATTAATGTATTTCGCATGTGGGTTAGACATTACGCTTTGGAAATCAGAATTAGACTACACAGTGTTGAATTGTGGCCTCCAAAAGATAGGCCCCCTCGAGAGCTCAGAGTATGACCTCTGGAATAAGGGCCTTTTGAGGTTTGATTTCATGATGAGGTCATCCTGACCTGGAGAGAGTGCTCAGT